AGGACGGCCAGTAAATTTTTAAAGTTAACATTATTTTTTTTATTTTTAAACAATTAGATTCCATTTACCAATTTGCAATTTAGTTTTTTCAAAAATTATAAATTTTAAAGTACTCGGAAAGACGCGTCTTTAAAAAAAAAGTTAAATTCCATTTATTGGTTCCCGAGATATAAGCGGTCAAAGTTTATCGGCATTTACCGTTAATTTATAAACAATTTAGCAATAATATTTAATCCAGCGGCTTCGTTTTTCCGAGTTTAAGCTAGAAAAAATTTTCATATCAACAAGTTATCGGCAACATAGATAAATCAGCGGAAAAGCTGTCGCTCGCACGCGCGAAAAGAGACTCAAAATACGAAAAGTGGGGGAGGGGGGCTTTCCGAGTACTTTAAAATTATAATTTTTGAAAAAAACTACATTGCAAATTGATAAAATGTAATCTAACTGTTTAAAAATAAGAAAAAGAGTGTTAACTTTAAAAATTTATTGTGGCCGTCCTAATCAACCGATTTCAATTTTTCAAAAACCATTTGAAAGGTAGAGCGGTCTTTTCTATGTGAAAAAAATTTCAAGTATCTAGATGCTTTATTTGGGGCTGTGCAAAATTTTGAAAATCAAAACATTTTTTTTTAAATTTTTTTCAAAAAATTATTTTGCGAAAACTATCAAACCGATTTTAATGAAATTTGATGTGTTTTTTTTATTATACTATAAAGTTTTTTTTACCAAAATTAGAATCCCTCGGAGCAATTAAAACATTTAAAAAAAAAATATCCAAAAAACTAGTTTTTTTGCCTTTTTTTCATCAATTATTACTATTTTGCAACATCGGTAATAAATTTAAACATTTTTAACTTAGAATATATTGTGTAAAATTCAGTTCTAAAACTTTTTTTCAAGATAAAATAGGTATTTTTTTAATGTTTTAAACATTTTTGCAATTTTGAAAATGTTCCGGACCGCGCCCAGATCTAGAGATCTACACTTTTATTATGTGAGTTGCACTGAAGATATTCCAGCAAAAATTAGCTTGCCCCCTCCTACATCCAAAAAGTGGGATATTTCGACAGATCCGCCCTTGTCTATGTTGCATATTCCCATTTTCAGGAATGTTTTTAAATTCAATGAACTGTATGTCCCATTAAAAAAAATGTTATGATGACATCCCAGAGATTACATAATGACGTCATAATCGAAACAATAGTGTCAAAGGAAGCACAAATGAATTTAAAAAAAAAAACTGACGTGTCCGAGCGTTTTTGTGTAAATTATACAGGGCATATTTTATTTATGGTTCCCAATCTAAACGTGGACACTGTATATTAAGAAGAATTGAGAAACGACCCTGGTACAAACATTTTTATTTGCTAATATTTTATGAAAATCGTAACAACAATATTATTTAATCAATAGTTGTAGCATTAATTCCTACGTTTCATTGGTTAAATACTAAGAATGATGAGACTACCACCAGCGTGGTCTAATGTAACATCCCCTTATTCAAATTTCATTCGATACTCTCCATTTATTAACTTAAAACCGAGGATAAAGGGTAAGGGTGAAAAACGGGTAAAAAGTATTTAGTCCGCGTTCAATTAAAAACGAACCACTTAAAATCCACTGATCCAACGGTTCATTCGCTCATTCCCAGTCTACACCGAGGACTGTCTAGGAAGCCCCGATCCGATAATTGTATCGATGGAGCTGGATCTGTTTTATATGCAGCCAGATATCTGCGGCTTTTGATGAAATTTGCAGTACGACATTTCAGGTGGTGAACTGAATATTTTAGTTTCATCGGATGCTGCTGTGGGGAATGTGACGGGAGTAACGACAAGTCTCAACAATAATTGATTCAAAACATGTACAGGGTGAACCCAAAGTATCGTATATTAGAAAATAATAACTAACATACTCGCATTAACTTCTTCTCATCGTTTCTTACTGAGGGACACCCTATGCAGGGTGTCTCAAGGATTTTTTTGAAATTGTGGTGATGTGATACGGGCCGTAGAGCCTACCATTTTTTCAAGGTCATCGTACTTCCGGTTATACCGGAAGTCGATACCAACTTTCTTATTTTAAATGGAACCCCCTGTATATTATTGCATTTTTGGAAAGAGCATTTATTAAGTTGAAAACATATAGCGCACTCCATACTTAGGATTGACCGTCTCCGAGATATTTTCATTTTTAAGCAAAATTGACAGATGTAGACTGTCAGCAAAATTTAGTTTTCCCGAAAACATAAGTTTATTTTTTTGTGCAAATTGGACATTTTGTAGAGGAAGATCTTATTTATCAGATTTGACATGAAAATTTTCTAGGTGGTCAAAAAAAATTGATCGAATATGAAGGTCAGAAAATGAGGGAAACTGGAAATTTTTGAATTGAATCCACCATTTTTTTAACATGTTCGTATTCTGCATTAAAATTGAGTGAACTTTATTAAAGTTTCCTTATACCTAAACCCAGTGGTTTTCGTTTTATATCCTTCAAGCGGTTTCCCAGATATCCATCGATGGAGCTCGTGGTGAGACGCCCTGTATATATTGGCCCATTTAAAAGTGCATTTTTGTACATTTAAAAACTAGCAAAATCTTATATCATGACTTTTCAACATAAATTGAGAAATGATAGTATATTAACCAATAAATAGGCCATCATAAGCGAAATTTTTGGCAAATTCTCACGTGCTTTTAATGGCATTTCACTCTCATGTAATGACACAACGTTTTGTTCAACAATTACAAAAAAACCTGAAGAGATATTATCAGTTAATAACTAACAAATTTACTGATTTTTATGTTGACGCGCGTGTCCAATGTGATGGAGTAATTTTCAGAAGCTAAAGCTGTATCTTTAGGATTACTTCAACGAAAATCTAAAGAAATTTTAACAGGAATATTTGCTATTCAAAGCAAAGCAAAGCTTGTACAGTACATACAATCTCGGAAGAAGTTTTGTTGGCTTATTTTTTGTAAAAGGTTCGTCAAATGATTGTTACCCACATTAACATATTGCAATCTGTGATACGTTTACTCACGAAAATACAAATCTTCGACTATTCGTCTGCAGTATTCAATTCTCAAATCTGCGTTGAAAGTCTACGAAAATGAAGATATTAGCAAATGTCACGAACTGGCTGCTTTTTAAAACAGAAGCACGGTATATACACAGCCAAAAAATGGTTATTTTTATTTTTAAGGGAAGAAATCAATAAATTTTTCTAGGCGCACCAAATGGCCTCAAAGTTCGTGAAAATTTTTTGAATTTTGTAAATAACTCGAATACGTATTATTCGATTTCGATTATTTTTGGGGTGTGGACTTTTGTTTCAATCTACACATTTTGGTGTTATACAGAGTGTTTTTTAAAACTCACAACTCCTACAAAATTGATGTGTGGTGATAATATCCGTGCATAACATTTTCCTCTTTCAGGCAATAATAACAACTATTTTTTATTTGATAGGTGATACCATTTGGAAGTGTTTGGGTCACTTATAGAATTTTCATTAAATGAGCGGTTTGGGTACAAAAAAATATTTTTTGAATGTCTACATTATCTTGCCACCCATATTACAATACTTAACAAAGTGCTAATATGTAGTCACTAATTTTGTAGGTTGATGTAATTTCAGTTTGATCTTGTTTGGGATAGTTGTAAGTTTTGAAAAACACTCTGTATAACACCATGTGTAGATTGAACGCAAAAGTCCACAATCCAAAAATAATCAAAATCGAATAATACGTATTTGAGTTAACAAAAATCAAAAAATAAATCTAAATCTGCCTATTTTGAGTACAGGAATCTGTGGTCTTCCGTTGTACACGTTATTCTGGGACACCCTGTATAACAATTTTTATTTTCTAATATTCAAAGTAAAAATAAATCAAAGAAAACAGATCTTTCTGGAAAATATTCATTCCTCATTTTTTCCTTATTTTTCTTGGGTAATAGCAAATATTAATAGAATGATGTCGCGCAAAGAAAATGAGCCTCTTTGTGATAATTTCGGCAGTCGAATGCAATTTCACAATGCAATTGTTCATTTTAATACAAACACTAATTGTTTAATGTTATTTTCGTTATTTTATTTCACTAGTGACTAAAGAAAATTAGTAGGCGTAGATTATAAAATTGAAAGATATGAAATTTAAAAAACATGAGTAAAATGTTAATAAAAGTGCTCAAGTTATGGGTGCTCATACGTTTAGTTTTTTTTTTACTTTAGTCAGAAAAAAAGATTATTGTAGGAACCTTTTCGCAGTGAAAATTTCAAATCCTGTAAAAAAATTATTAATAATATTAAATAATTACATAATTATTATCTCTACTACTGAATTACGGCTTCCTATTGCAGAAAATTTAGAAAATAATATTAGGCAGCCATGTCGACATTACTAAACAAAAAAAATAGTAAAGAAAAAATAGTATGTAGTTATTTATTTGAGACAGAGTTTTCGTTTTGTTTTTTCTTTACTGGGTATTTTGCCACCTGTGAAAAAAAATTAAGTCAATGAAATAAAACCTTGCATCAAAAGAATAAACAAAAAACAAACATTAAAACGAAAAGTCGTTATCAGAACACCAAAACAGATAGATTTTCAAAACGTCAACAACTTAGTGAAAAGCGCGATATACAATGATGTATATTTTGTATTTCTTATTTGTCTGCCTTTTTTTAGTGTGGGATATTTGGGTGAATAAAACTATTTTCATAAAAATAACCCTGGTGTCAAAATAGCCGGTAAACAATGGATAAAAAAAATAAAGGGACCCCCGTTTAAATGAGGAAAAACTTTCCATCATTCACCGAAAGTCAAAACCGTGCGGTTTTCAAAAACGTTATCCCCGTTGCTGAGGAGTACCGAAAGACCGAAACGCCGCCGAAAAAACAAACAAATGCCAATACACATCACATCTCTGCGAGGGACATGGGGGGGGGACGGCCACAAACAACAAACTAAACAAACACACGAGTCAACGAAACTTACCGTCATCCCGAAAATCCTCGTTTCCCGGCACCTCATTTACATGTCAGAGTCCAGAGAACTTATTTTTAATTCCACACCGCCTCGCCGCGCCACCGACTCAACTCAGCGAGAGTAAAAAATACCGGCACATAGTACTATGCTCTCCCGCGTACTCGGGGTTTTCATTAAGCGTCGCTGCTGGCCGGCGACGTCGAGAGCAGCGTCGGTGGAAGGAAGTTTTGATGACCGGCGAGGGGGTGGCGACGCGTGCGCACGGCCCGCTTATCGATTTTGCATCGAGAAGTCGGAAGTGCCACACAAGGTGTTTTATGCGTTTATGCATTATGCTCGTTTTATTGTTCGCAGTAACTCGACTGATTTGCTTTTGTTTCCTATGGGCTCTCGGTTAATGGGAATGAGCGTCGATTATTATGAAAGAGGGTATTTGTATGGTTAAGTTGTTTTGGTTAGCGCCGCGAAGGTGTTATTGTGTCGGAAATGCCGGAACAGAGGCCGAATTTTCAATGGACGCACCACCCAGACGCTGAATGCATACGATATTCTCGTGTTTGTTTGCACCACTTACAATTAGTTCATAGCAATTGCTTTGCTGTGCATGTAGTAATCAAATTAATTCTAGAGTTGCTCTTAAATTCTCATCAAATTAAGTTATTGCATCAGGAAACAATTCTGAAACAACCACCGAAAGGTTACTTAAAGCCCACTTAAGGAGGTATATCGGGGTCCGAGGGAAGTGAGAAGCGCAGGGGGGTACTATGCTTTTCTTATGGGACTAAAACCCGCTGCCAATTTGAAAAAATTAATTTCTATTGAAATTATTTGCGATAAACATTACCTATATAGCAAAGAAATCTACTCATATGCACATAGCATACATACTGACTAATTAACAACATAAAAATATCATATTTAAGTAGTTTTAAATTATATTTAATGAACGCATAAAGACTATGTAGATGTGGCAACAGCGCTAATAATTGACTAGCAGTTGTACACACTGCGAACCTACAGACCTCGGACATCGGAGATATTGCGCGTCAAATTCGGGTAAAGATGCGTACGCGTTCAAAAATGTATTGTGTGTAAACTATGTACAATATAATTATTATATATAGCAAATATATCGTATTATCCTCGCGAAGATTTGTATCCTTTATTTAAAATCCGTAAATCATGTGAACTGGTAAAACAACGAGAATTATGTTAATTTAGTTCTAAAGAAATGAAATGACACTCGCGCCCATCTCTCGTCCAAGTCAAAGAAAATGTTGGATGCAATTTTGAAGGTTCTGTGATAGAAATTACATTATTACTCACTGTTCGTGTTTTTAATCTCTATTTTAGTAATGTTACAAAAGTTTTGCAACTATAACTAATTTTTTAGATATAAAGTTTGCTGAGAAATATTTATGTTCCTTTGTTATTCCGTACAAATGCTTTTATCTCAAGTATTACTAATTATATTAATCAAGTAAAGAAAACTTTATGTAACCCTAAATATTGCTGGGTAATGATTACGATGTTTTTATAAACCATTAAATATATTAAAAGGATTTATCAACTGTATTTTTTATTCCAATAAATATATCACAGCTTCCTAGTCTTTTTTAATTAATCTAGTTTTTTAAAAACATTACAAAAAATCATCTGTTGTGGATAATTTATTGTTGATAACAATGTACATGGGATTTAGGAAAAATGTATATGTTTGAAATCAATTTCGTTTTTATCAAGTCTTTCAAATGTATTCCCTCCTTGCTGTCAGTTGATTGCGACGTTGCCACATTAATCCTCAAGTCAGACAGAAATGCAATTATTGGTTTCTGTTTCTAATTGATACAGCTGTACTATGTTCAAAATTTACATTAGTTTTCCATCAAAAATAAGATAATACTGTGTACTATATTTGGAAAAGTTTTGTTTCACAATTTCTACATTTTTTTCTCAGTTATGGGCAAAAAAAGAGCCGCACCGTCCATCTTCGCCATATAAACCTATGTTAGAATGAATAACTTTCAACAACAATATCTCAAAATCTAGATTCAAAACAAATTTCAAAAAAATATGACGCACAGAGGAAGCACTGGCTAATACGCTATATAAATTTCAAGTACATCTGTGCATTTGAGTAAACCCGATATACCTCCTTAAACATAGACAGAATTTTACATAAATATTAAAAAAAAATAGCTGCCAATCTGTAAGAGTACACAAAGAAAGATTTCCAAACCGACAGGTTAACAGCTTTGCTTCTGTGACAGCTAATTGTGGACGGCAATGTACGATTAGGATCTAAGAACAAAGAAGGGTGCCAAAGACTTATAAGCCTTTGGGTCCACAACGTCCAAGTTTGAAAAGTGTACGAAGTTGTTTGGGCTAGCACTTTCTTTCAGAATCCGGGGACATAAAAAATTGTATCATTCGAGTTAATGTGTTTGACCTTCATTTGACCTTGATCTAGACGTGACGGGGTCATATGGACACCGAAATCGTGATCAGCGATCACAAAAACATGGAGGTCAGCTGGTTCGAGACCCATTCCTAGCTAAGATATCTGCCGAATGATCAAAAGGATTTGACCTCTAGATGACCTGCAAAAGACCTTCAGAAGTCGGTTCGAATCTTCCAGAATCCAGGGTCAAAAAAATTGTATCATTTCAATTAATGTGTTTGACCTTCATTGATACAGATGTGATGTCTGGGGACCTTATCCCCCCCCCTCAATGAAGCACCCGATGATCCTTCAAAGCTGCTCTGAAGTTAGTTCAAATTCAAGTGACCCACAAATGAAAAAAGTCATGAGTAACGGACTAAACCATGATATTTCCATGTATTTTGGTCCGCAAATCTGAATCTGACCTTAGTTTGGCTATACTCATCATGAATATTTCATATATTTCTAAAAAGTATTTTTACCATAGATGATTACGACCCAGGATACTCCAAAGTTTAAGACGTTTAATATCATTTAATAGCGCTCTAATGGATACCTCGTATTTTTTTATTAGTTATCTTCATAAGAATACTCTTACTAAACTACCATTAGTGATAAATATTCGGCAAGTAGTCTTATTATTTCTTGGTATTGCCCATGTCCTAAATACCAACTAATTGTCATGACGTGCGCACAACATCCCAGTTCGTTCTTATATTGACAACAGCAGCCACGAATGGCTTATGGATTTGCTTTGCCCAAATCTATAAGAAAATTCAGAAAATATAATTCCTCCTGCGGAAGTAGCTCTTCCCTTATAGTGCGCACGTTCTGTTTTTCCTCTCTATTTCTGAAACGGCTCAATTTACAGCAAAACGGAGGTCATATTTAGATAATTAAGAGTATTACAGAGGTATAATACCTTCAGCAACAATATGGTGCTACATGTCATATACCTAGCCAAATAATTGCTTTATTGTAACAAGAGTTTCCTGGACGGGATATTTTGAGAAATACTATTGTCAACCGGCGACCAAGATCATGTGATCTCACCTCTTTGGACTTTCCCAATCCCAATGCGAAATCTTTGATTTACAGAAATATGCCATAAACATTTCACTACCTTTAACTAAATATTCAACGTACCAGGAATGTGTGTTCAAGTTGTCGAACATTTGGATGTCCAAAATTCGTTCCATCAGATTTAAACGGTATTATGAACTTTTAAAATGTATCGTCATCTATTGCATTTCAAAATATAATAAATACTTTGGGTAACCTTTTAGTTGTAAGAGAGGTTCTCAGGTTTTGAATTCAACTATTGTTTTATCATTCTGTCCCTAGGTCTAATTGAACCCTAATCAAATATTCCATCTATCAAGCGGCAGTATCACTACTGTCGCTGAACCTCTTGACATATTTACGCCCGAGTATAAATTTCTGATGCGTACTGAAACGCTTATAATGTCGGAAACACAACAGTGGCGTTATTCCCTGTATTTTATTAAAATAAACGCAACATCGAACATAGATCCACTCTCAGACTGACGTCGTTGTTAATTGGGCTTAAACAGAATACAGGACTTCTGACGGGGCGTTGTTTGACTCGCGTTTTAATTATAAATGTTCCCGGCAATGTCCTGAAACTCCGTTAAAAGTACATGAATATTTGAGCGCGGCTTCCGTTTGTTTCGGTGCTTTTAAATTTTATAATATTTTTATTGAAGTCGGTAGGTATTAGTCGTTCAACGTAAAACATCGTTGCCATTAACAGTTATCCATTTTTTATTTGGTTTTAGTCAAATTCGGCTCCCAAGTGGTGCAAAGGTTGCAGATAAAATCCTCAAAACTGAAGTAAATTTGAAATAAAATAAATTTCTGCTCTAACAATAAGAATAAAAATTTCAGGAAATGTTGCTTGTACGATTAAAGTTCATGCTCATTCAAATGAAACTGAAAAGTAGCTATGTAACACTCTGCATACGAATAAATAACAATAAAAAATCTACCCTTGCTGTTAAACAGTTACTTTATGCTATTGGAATGCTATTTCCTCTGTTAATTTGAGTTGTATAAGCATTTGGTATTAAAAAAATTAAATTATTTGTAAGAAACAGTCTTTTAATTCCTATACAGTGTTCAGATTGATCCGGAACAACTCCATCAAAACTACCTCTCTAAATAGTATTATTAATCACCCTATTATTAAACTGAGTTGCAAATTCTGCTTCGTTCAGAACAAATTTAAGATTAAATTATCATTGTGAAATAAAATTTCAAACTGAGCGAGTAATATGATACATTCTCCCAAACTGCTGCATTAATTCTTTACAAAATCTACTGCTATTGAATTTTTAGAAATAGGCAGTTAACAAAGGCAGCGTTACGTTCAAGTGGCTCTAAAAGAACTTAATACCAGGATTCCAACCCTTGTCTGAACGCAAGGTGGTATACGAGAAATATTGAAACTGTTAAGAGGAGAGAAAATACCGGAATCGTCACCTGCTAACCATGCTTTGATCGTCGTTGACGCCCTTTTTCTAGACATGTGAATAGATATGGGTATTGTCGAAGAAATAGTGGATGCTCCTAAATTTGACTACAGGGAACTTCTACAGGGTGTTACTCTAAATTAAAACTGATTATCCTGAATTGTAAATGCCACTTTCTCTGAATCTAAATCTGTAATCTAATGGA